CTGCAGGTCAGGTGGGGGCCAGGGGCAAGAGCCTCAGCCTAAAAGCATCTTCTGAAAAAGAGTGGGGGAGCCCCCGGTGAGGTTCCTTCTCTTTCAAAGCTACTGGGCTGGCCAAGGCATCTTTTATCAGCCACCCAGCCTTGAGCAGAGAGCTCAACTCCTAGGAGCAGGGGTCACGCTCCAGCCCTGACACAGGCCAGAGCCCAACGCTCTGTTATGCCATCACCAATAGAAAAATGCACCTTACAAACATTGTAAATGGATGTTCTGCTGCAGGAAGACCCCGTCTAAACGTTAGCCTTATTTTAATTTGGTTACCTAAACCAGCCTGACCTTGTTCTGGGGTTGGTCCCAGCTGCACAAGTGGAATGTTTATTCCTCCTGCCCCGTCTTGCCTCTCCCATCGCCTTCCGTTCTTCTCAAGACATCTCTCTGGCTTCCCGTAGGCTAAAAGCATTTGCTGTACCACCATCTCTAGAAAGAGCTAAGAAAAATCCTTTAGCGTTATTACATCCTCGCTACCACTCTGCATATAAATATTTCTACCTGTTCCTTATGTGAAAAGCAGCCTTCCCACCCCTCCTGGCAGTGCTGAGCAAGTGCCTGGACCACAGTACGGGTGAGGGGCCACCAGACGCAGCTCCGCCTTGCTCGCCTCAGGCAGGGGCCAGTGTCCTCTCCCAGGATTTCTGCTGGGGACGGACACACGGGCACCCGGCATGCACACTTGGATGTCACGCAACGCGGCGCGTACGTGCCCTGGGGCTGCACCCAGCCCCGATCAGACACACCTCTGCTGCGGGATTTACTACCATGCCTGCCTCACGATGCAAGGATTAATGGAGGTTACGAAGCTCTGAGCACGGGAATCGGTGCATTATTTCCGAGGAATTACACAGGTGGTGAGCGGCACCAGAATCCAACAACGCATCGTTGTGTCATGGTATGAAATACCCCGAAACCTCTTAGGATGGTCTGTTCTCCTTGCTAAAACACCCACCACGTATTTACACTGCACACGCACTTCTCTTTCCACACAGGTGAAAATGACAATTTGGAAATAAACACAAACGTTTACAGGTTGAACCGAATATATGCCCCCTTCAGTTTATCTACCAAAATTTTGTTTCGTTCCTTGCCACCACCCCAAACTGCAGTACGCTCCTCTGGAGCCTCTTCAAAAGGCCCCGTTATCGCATCTTGCCCAGCACCGACTGGTACAACATGATCTGCTGCGATTCCTGGGTGTTCATTACATTTAAAACGTGCTTCCCTAAAATGGGCATCTGCAGACCCTTAGCTTTTACCCTTTTTTTGCCAAGGACTTTCCATAAATTTCCAGTAATGCAGTGCTTGGAATTCCTTATAGATTCAAAACAGAGGCAAACGCCTTACTAACCACAAAATATATAACAGCGCAACAAAAAACAAATACAGTGATGAATGTGGTATTTTAGATCCAACAACAATAAACCAGACTGCCATCGTCCTGCTGACTGTATGCTACAACAAAGTCCTGAGATGCTGACTTTAAGGAAAAACAGAAAAACCACATTTATCATTCACTTGGCTTCCCACCAGCCCCCAGGATTACATGACAGACATGTTTTCACTTGCTCGTGGAGACAAGCTGTAGCTCTGATTCTTGCCCTGATGGTAATCTTAGTTCTGCTTTATTATGTATTTCATTTTCTCCCAGTTTTTCCATATATATACACGCTGATTAGAGTCTTTTATCAATCACATTTAACATATGTCCTATTTGTTTTCCTTCTCAAAAGGGGAGATTTTTAGCATGTAGTCCTCATGAAATGCAGACTGCAGCAACCACCATGACACTTTGCATGTCCAGCACATCAATTGAACTGCCACTGCATCCCTAAAACTCTGTAACTGCTGAAGATATATCTAACACCATAACCCGCAAGAACTGCAAAAAGCAAAACCTGAGTTCAAACGCTGCCACATGTCTAGTGAAATCACAACAGATCCTGTGAATCAAGCTCTGATTCCAGTAGGAGAGACTCTCATCCCAGAAGGACATAAAAATCTCTGCAGGCGTGGCCAAGAGGGCTGAGTGGAAGCCACAGGAAACTCTCATATTCAATGCTCACTGCAGTTTTGGTTATGTTGCAGCATCTATTTATGTTGCTCCTCAATTTATTTTACATGCTGCTTATTCAAAGTTAGAACAGCAACATAGTCTTTTAACTATTAATGTGAAAATTATTTCTTCGCATTAAAAAGCCAGCAGCTTCAATCATAGTGCGGGAATAACTGAACTGTTTTACACTAACACTCCAGTAAAAAGAACACGCAGAATGAAAGACAGCTAAAGTGAGTGCGTGACTTCAGTCACCTTATCACTTTTCAGAACTACATTAGATGCCACTGACATTTACGTCCAACAAAACATGCTTGGTCATTTCACCGCAGCTGCTACAAGGTTCCCGTTCATATCGCAAAACTGGATTCTCTGCTGTTTCCCTTGCAGCCCTTTTTTTATATTTTCACTCTAAGACTCCTTTGCAGGAAGGCAAAGCATTAGCTGTCTTGCCCACTAGCAGAAGCACCACAATATATGCCGGCACAGAAGCCTGTTAGAACGCTCCATAACTGAATTATGTATTACCAACAGTCTTACAGACATTTCTGGAGCTCACATAGTAACCGTGATAGGTAGCTTCCCTTGAAGTTTCTGATGTTGTATTGGTCTCTTGGCTCTTGGCAGTAAAACACCTTCAGGAAAGAAAGTAAAATGCAAGATTAAGCTAGAGATTTATTTGGCAGTTTCCTCTTCACTGCCCAAGTGTAGCTCACGCTTAGGGGAAACAGGGGAGAATTTTCCTGATTATAACTCTTCTCTTCCTTCTGGCCTTTCATTCTGACAGCACCTTTCTCAAATCGAGACCATTCTAATATTTGCTTTACAGCTCTAGCTTGGCTTTGGTTGATTACAAGCAGGCACGAATGTTTGTCTTGGTTTCCCAACATTTGCCTGCGTTGGCATCGCACAAAACGTTGAGGCAGATTTACACAAACAAATTTTTATTTGCAGAGTCCGCTGTTGACGGTGTACGCTGACTCCAGTTGCCTTAGGGAAAAACGAAGGACACAAAGAGGGAGGCAGGGGAAAAGCCAGGCAGAGGGGGGACTCTCCTCTGCGATGGGATCCACAAGCATCCTTCTCCCGGTGCTCTCTACCGCGCGGCAGGAGGTGCCAGGCCTGAAGACGAAGGTCCCCGTTCGCACCGCGCTGCCCCTGCAGCACCGCAGGCACTTCCCCACGGGCTCCCGGCGCGGTGTTCCCACCGGCCGTGGCACTAGCCCTGACGGACAGCAACGGGCAACCGCTGCACGCTGCTAAGCTTCGCGTGTGACTGAGCAACGCTCGCTTAAACTACCGTTACGTACCAGTCGCCAAGTTCTCTCGGGGCAGAGCAGGGCGAGGGAGGAAGAG